GGTCTAGTTCACCTTGGCTTGGTAGTCGGCGCGGGGCTACTGGGTATTGGTTGTTTGTACTTTCATAGTCGCATGGTAGCCCGGGTTCATCCCCCTCGTTCCGCAGGTCAGGTCTTCTGGTCCCACCGATTCGCAACACATGGCCCCACCAGAAACATCTCTATACAACCAAAACTACTAATACACCAAAATCACAATACGATCCCTTCCAGAAAACCAAAATACGACTTCCTTGTTGGTAAGTTACTAGTGGACTGTTGACCTTGATCTGCAGTTCTCAATGGATTAAGATGGAAATCTGAACTGGCAGTTGAAAATGTTCGGAAAAAGAGGGTACTTGGACTGCAATTCAGCCCAAATCAGCCGAGATGCGTTTTACGACGGCGTGAGTAGACGGCATGGAACCACAAGGTAGGAGAACTGTTTGAGCACGCCTTTCCCCCACTTGAGGGTGAATACTGCTGAAAGAATGGAGGAATTCTTTCAGAGTTTGAGAATCATTTACATTCTTCTTAAATTGAAGGCAAGCGTGGGATAAAATGGTGCGTAGGGAGTTTAGTGATGAAGCTGAAGGGGGAGAGGTGGAAAGAAAAAGAATCGAAAGAAACCTCCGATTACGCCCAAATAAGGACCTTATCTACTATATTCAGCCACATTCCACCTTGGGATAGAGAAGGGGCGTGTTGGACGAGTTTCACGAACCTAGCTCCAGTTGCTCCAGTGCCAATAACATTGAACCGCAATGGACCGCTGCCGCAACTGCGCCGCAGCGTCACGCAGCCGACAGCGGAAGGCGGGGCTTGCGGACGAAGGTGTGGATTGCGGGTCGAGCGAGCTTCTAGCGCCTTTGTCGCGCACTTTCAAGCCGCAAAAGGGGCGCGACATCAACACTTGTCCGCCTGTCTACTACGCTCAAGGATGGAACAGGTGAGCGTGCTCAATCCCAGGACCGTGCCTTTAAGTCCACCTAATCCTCCTCTTTTATTATCACTTGTACATCCTACCCCTACTTGGACTTACGGAAAGCTTTTAGAGACACATCCAAAGAGAAGCTTCGGAGACAAACGTCCTTCTTCTTTCTGTTCTCCCTAGCGTCAATCCGCGCAGTTGCAGAGTCCGGTATTCTTGTTAGCCGTTGTGACTTTATGCTGCAGCATCTTCTGCCGTAGACACGACTTCAGTGAAATCCGTTTATGAGGTCCTTTCCACCTCTTCTTTGGGGCTCCTCGCGGTCGCTTGCCTTGCGCTTCGAAGTCCATTGCATTCCTTATTGGGTGGCCTGTGGTCTTCTTAGCACATGCCCATACCACCGCAGTCGCTGCTCCCTCACCTTCAGCTGGACAGGGGCAGCCTGCACGACAGCTCCGATAAGAAACTGTTGAAATTTTGCTTATTGTTAGAGCGGGCTAGATGGCGCAAATGCAAGTTGGCTGACAGAAGCGATTCGTATTTTTTGAATGAAACATTATTCACCCTGTTTGTGCTTCCGTTTCTTGCGACTAACGCAGTTGATAGATGGTGATTATCATTCATATAAGATGCGACTTCGCTGGGACATGGTCACTAGTGCGCTAGTCCATCAATCTTTCATGAAGTGAATCAGGGAATCATCTTTATCTGAACTATGAAATCTATTTTTGCTTGCGTCCAGATATCTCCCTACAATTTGTTCACGAGTTTGCAGGATCAACCGTATGTTGGTACAAGTATCGAAGGGGATCGTATACGATCGCTGAAGTGGCCGATAGGAGTCTTACCCAAGGGTCAACCGTCACGTTGGACCGACATTGGACCGACGTTGGACCGACGTTGACCGCTCTCCGCGCCGGCATTCGCACTCGCCTTGCGCGAGCCGTCTGTGTCTCCGTGCGTACGTTCACTCTCGGCATTACTCTCACACGCTAGAGAGCCATGCGTTGGACTTTGTCCAACGGACGGTTGACCCTGGTCTTCTATACGGTAGGATAAGGCGAGGGAAATCATGATTGACTGGGAAATTCATTCAGCGAATAGACGCGACGCGTTGACGCGGTGACACCATGACAGAGATTGTTAGTGCGAAGCGCTTTTTTCGATTTATCAACGAAAAAAGGTTGTTTAGTGAGGATTATCATATTTCTGGAGTGAATGAAACGGAGATCATTGCATGTAGCTGTGAAGCATTCACTCAAAAAGAAAAATGAGCACTTTCACGAAAGACATTTTTTTCTCGAAGTGATGAGAATGGATTTCCACGAACGCTTGAATTGCCTTTTCTAAGCGCATACTCGCGGTTTTCTAACACACTGAAAAATTCTTACGAAATCGATTTCCGAGGAAATCACGACCATTTAAGCCTAAAAAATCCGCATTTCACGGAAATGGCTTGGTGTGAGCCTCCCTTTAAAACATCGCAACGGCATCACGCCTCCCCCCCCCCCCCCGCTCCCACCCCCTCACCCCCCACCGACCCGCAGCCCCCCCTCTCCCCCCCTTCCTGAATCGGTGGCTTTCTGATCGAGTTGCGTCTTTTTAGAAAAGGTAAATGGTTTACGTTGTTTGTTTAAGTATTGATCAACACTGGCTGCTGGCTGCATAAAAAACCAATGCCTTTTTAAAAAGTGGCGATAGGTTCGTCTAAATTATGAGTTTTAAGAAACTTGATCATCGAAGGTTGGAGACTGCACGGCATGTGCGACGGGAAAAAAGTGCCAACGTTGCCAATTATTCAGACCTTCAAATGAAGAAACACTTTCTGTCGCGGATGCGACGGTGGCCCGTGGGCGCACCGCGCGCCCCGGCCCATTCATGCTCGGATGCCAATGCGCAATGCGCCCATTGCGTCATTGGCTCCGCCCTCTACGGTCAGTGCCAGCGGGCAGTCGTCGTCGTGTGCCTTACGGCGAGCGGTGACCTGCCTTGCCTCGGACGTCCCCTATGTCTACCTAGCTGTCAGGTGAGTGTATTGAATGGCGTTGAGCCCCTAGCAGTTGAGGTGCTAATGTGAAGTGTCTAATACGTGTCCCAGTGCTGGCATCCAGGGGTTGGTCGGTGTTCACCGGGCAACGCGAGGAGGCCCCGGAAGGCGAGGAGGGATGTCCCCTCCGAGCTGGAAGGTTGCGGAGCGCCACCCGTTAACTGGTCGTGGTCCCTCCCCTGCTCCCCGTCTGGGAGCAGCCTGGTATCACGCCCCGTCTCGGACCCGCTGACCGTGCGGGCCCCCTAGAAGTGTAACATCCGAGCAAATGGGGGTTTATAGTGTGAAGAAAGAAGAAGTTTGCAATGGGAAAAATGAATTTGTGATAATATGTGATCTTATTTGTTATTGTTTACCCGTATAAAAGGGAGCAATGAGTAAGAACTTCATTCTTTTCATCCCGTGCGGCACTCCAGGAGGCGGCAGTCAACCCTCATAATAAAGGTCAGTGACGATCGTGTTCTGTATTGTAGCAATAAACACACACTGAACCCGTGCGTATATGGTGCATCGGCCAAAGGACGATGACGACAACACTCTCAACCAAGCAAGGAATGCTGACGAAGACGATGGGACGACTGTCCGCTCTCCTAGACAATGTGCCCGAGGAAACTCAACCTGCAGAAAGGGAAGACGATGAGAACATCCCTTCTAGAAAACTGCAGCTGATGAAGCTGAAGAAGAGCATCGAAATTGCCTGCGCTAGTGTTGAAACCGCCCTTAATGCTTACACTACTGCAGCAGACACACTCGACAAAGAAAGTCTTCAAGGAAATCCGATCTTGGACAAAATTTCGTCGAACGCATCGATAGCTCAAGACCTCATCCTTCGCGCTCAGAGCAGTCGGATCGAACTCGAGATGGCCTTGGAAGAGCTATCAATGGTCGCATCTGATGAACTGCAAACAGCGCCAATGCAGCTGGCTCCCATACCAATCCCTAAATTTAGTGGGAAAGTCTGGGAATGGGAAAGTTTTTGGAGTGCCTTCGAATTCTCTATCCATTCCCGTAAGATCGAGGACATCTATAAAATGAACTACTTGATGGAATCGTTGGAAGGGGAAGCGAAAAAATCACTGAAACGATTCCAAATCAGTGGATCAACATACGCAATGGCTATCGCCCATCTAAAAAAGAAATTCGGTAATCCCCAGCTACTGCTTGAAGAATTGGCTAGACAACTTGAAGGCTGTTGTGCTAGCACCAATCGTATTGAAGATCAAATGACGCTCTACGAAGAACTTTCTTCAATCCTCAATCAAATGGCCCTCAAAGGAGAATGTATAGACACCGTAGTTCTGCAGAAACAAGTTCTGTCCAAATTCAGTGAACGCGTACAACGTCACGTCTTAAGGAAGAAGCACGAACAGACCGCTAGCGAACCATGGACCACTGAACTATTATTGTCTCATATCAGCGATTTCCTCGATACTGAGATGGAGATAAAACATCATCTTCAAGAACAAAACCAAGATCAGCCGTACAAACCATCGCAAAACAACATCGTCAAGAGGACAACAGACATACGTATCAGTAAAGAAGGAACTCATACGTGCTTTTATTGCAGACGTGGTAACCATTCACCAAGAGACTGTTCAGAATATAGTACACGAGAGCAAAGACTCGATCACTTGAAACGGTTCTCCCTTTGTATGAACTGTGGAGAAGCAAACCACATAGCTAGCGCCTGCACCAAAGGTGCTTGTCGATTGTGTCATCAGAAAGGGCATCACACGTCCATATGCCCGCAAACTATTCGTACAACAGAACAAAGACCAACATCTTTTCAAAGGAAGCCACCCACAACAAATGAAAATCCTAAACCTCCCGCGCAGAGGAAAACAAGACAACATTTCGTCTCTTCCACGCCGAACGAAGACGACGATGATGAAGACAATGTCGAAGCAGCAACGTGCATGAAAACCACCTCCATAGTATCAAAGACAAAACAATGCGTTCTCGTCGGAGAAGCAAAAGTTTTCAATGTCAACACGCAAGCATTGGAAACTGTTCACATTCTTCTGGACACAGGCGCAGATCGTTCCTTCATAAGTGAAAATCTCGCCTGTCGTCTTCAATTGAAAAATACTCATACACTTCGATTGAGTATCAACACATTCGGCAATCAAAAATCAAAAGAAATAGAGTGCGGAGTCACAGATCTTCAACTTTTCGACCACGACGGGAAATCCCATTGGTTCCAAGTCACTCGAATTCAACATATCACGGAAAATCTTCAAAGAAATTGAACTTATACACGAAGACAAACATTATATCGTAGAGAACGACATCAAGTTATCAGTCAGCCGAGAATTTCAAGAAGTCCGTCCTGAAGTATTATTGGGATGCTGTGACGCATTTTCTCTCATCGATAAAGAAGATCAGTCATCAAAAATACTTCCATCAGGACTTTCGACTGATACCCTCTTCGGTTAGGATACCTCATTACGGGACCAGTCGACAACTAATTCCAAACACAACGATAAAGACTACCTCATCTTCAGTGATACAAGAGAGTAACCAGAAATGGGATGAGTTCCTTGCCCTACAAAACTCGGGAATTCAAGAATTCGTCGGCACCAAAACACAAGAGCTGGAGATGGAAAACGATAAAGTATGGAGAAATTTCAAAGCAACAATAGAGCACCACAGAGACGGATATTATGTACAGTTACCTTGGAAAGAGGAGGCAGTCTCCTTACCAGATAACAAGCTTATAGCTTACAAACGACTTCGTCTTAACCTGTCGAAACTTCAAACAACACCAGACATACTCCGACAGTACCATCAAACGTTCGTAGAACAACTCAATAAAGGGATTATTGAGGAAGTGGATGTCCGCCAACAGCCCACCGGAAAGAATAGTCCATTATCTCAGTCATCAAGCAGTGATCACCCCGGCAAAAGAATTCACGAAACTGAGAGTGGTGTTTGATGCATCTGCTCATTTCAAGGGTCAGCCGTCCTTAAACGATGTTCTCCACCAAGGACCAGTAATCTTACCACTTATGCGAGACATGCTGCTCCGCTTCAGAATTGGAAACATTGCCATTATAGCGGATGTGGAGAAGGCTTTTCTGCAGATCCGTCTCAAGACAGAAGATCGGGATGCCACTCGGTGTCTATGGGTCAAGGATCCCACGAAGCCACCTACTGAAACAAATCTCGTCGAATACCGTTTTACACGAGTGACCTTCGGATTGAATTGTTCACCATTTCTATTGGCAGGGACAATCAAGTATCACCTGCAGGACAACACCCTTCACAAGGACTTGGCAAAGGAAGTCTACAGAAATGTCTACGTGGACAACGTAATCCTTACGGCATCCAGTGAACAAGAAGCGATAGAAAAGTGCAGGAAATCGAAAGCGATAATCGCCGAGATGAATATGAACCTTCGAGGATATCTCACCAACAACGAAAAAGTCAACAAAGATATTCCTTTACACGACAAAAGTATGCACAACGTTACGAAAGTCCTCGGAATTTGTTGGGATTCAGTAAATGATCACCTTGTCCTGAATACCCATTTCGCAAGTCATACCACAATCACCAAACGGACTATATCAGAGCAAATCGCGTCCATTTATGATCCCATGGGGTGGCTAACCCCACTCATGTTGAAAGGCAAACTGTTCCTGCAGCTCCTGTGGTCATCTGGATATGACTGGGATACGAAGCTCACGGAAGAACACGCTATACAGTGGAACGAAACAGTTGCCCAAATGGATTCTTTCAAACTAATTCTTCAACGACAAGTTTCACCTCTCCATTCAAGAGTCAAACTTGTAGTTTTTGCCGACGCCAGTATACAAGCTATGGCAGCCTGTGCATATGTGGTAGCAACTGATCAATCACACCTTGTATTTGCACGATCCAAGTTAGCCAATGCGAGAGCACATCCTACAATTCCGAAGATGGAGATGTACGCTACCACCATGGCTGTCAGAATGGCACAAACAATATACAACGCGTTAGCCGATCAACTGAGGATCTCATCTGTCGTTATTCTCACGGATTCTGAAATCGTTCTCAATTGGCTCGCAACATACCCCAGCAAAAGAGATGTCGGCCGTTTTGTGACGAATCGAGTAGCAGAAATTCGAGCAATAGTGAACTGCATAGACTGTCCCACACGGTTCGGACATGTTACTACGAATGAGAATCCTGCAGACAGCGCTACAAGAGGTCTTTCGGCGAGGGAGATGGAAACCCATTTGTGGTGGGAAGGACCTGATTTCCTGAAGCAGCCAGAGAAAAATTGGCCCGGAAAACGTCAACTGACTACCCTTCCCGAAGAAATACACGCAGAAAATCTGGAAGCTATTCAGCAAACAATTCTGAACACAAAAACCTCAAGCATGGGAAACATCAACGATGTGGAACTTTTGGACTGGAATAGGCACAGTACCCTTGACTCAGCCCAGACGTCTATAGCATACGCACTACGATTTTTGAGGGAGCTGTGTTGCCGTGTTCAAGAAAAAACCGCGTCAAGAATAACAACGCAAGTTCCAGAACTCAGGATGCGACCGGACAGCAAGTTCATCACGGTAGCTGAAAGGAAAGCTGCATTACAAGTCATTATACGCGCGCATCAAAGTACCCATGTTACACAACAACTCAAACGCTCCCTGAAAAACCTCAATCTACAACCAGATCAGTACGGCATTCTGCGCTGTCGAGGAAGACTTGACAATGCGAATATTCCCGAATCCGCGAAACACCCCATGTTTGTGGCCCCAAAGACCCCACTCGCATCTTGCATTATCAGGGATGCTCATCTCCCACTCCATCTCGGCATTTCTCATACGATGGCTACGGTCAGAAGAGAATTTTGGATCCCAAAGCTTCGACAACAAGTTCAACGTCTAACTACTAGATGTGTTCCATGTCAAAGGATGAACGCATTACCATTCCCATATCCATCGATGGGACCACTGCCGTAACGCCGCCTTATAAGAACCAAGCCTTTTGAAAATGTTGGAATCGACTACTTTGGCCCTCTAATCACAAAGGAATGTGACGGCAAAAACAAAGTGTGTGGAATCATTATCACATGCATGACGACTAGGATGATCCACATAGAAGTGGTTACGGACACGTCAACCGACAAGCTGCTCCTAGCCCTTCGAAGATTTTTCGCTCGTCGAGGAGTACCAAGGACAATTACCTCAGACAATGGACCTTCATTTGTTCTGGGAGATCAAATGCTCAAAGACGCTATACTCTACATCACGAATGACGATGGCTTTCAAACCACAATAGGCACGTAAAGGGATTGAATGGACAACCATCACGCCATACGCTCCGTGGCAGGGAGCGTTCTATGAAAGGTTGATCAAATCGATTAAACATTCCTTTTACAAAGCTGTTGGAAATCGTCTTTTGAGGAGGAGGAGCTGACGACACTACTGACTGAGATTGAAGGTACTCTGAATACACGACCACTGACATACCAAGGAGCAGACTATGAACCCCTACGACCTTTGCGTCCTATCGACTTTATCGTAAAAGATATCGAAATCACATATCCCTTCGAGTCCTTACAACCGGATAAAGACGACCCAGATTACCTACCCTCCGAAGAACTATTCCGTCTGCAAACCAGGAGACAGGCACAGGAAGCCCTTGCATCCACGCTCAAAGTGACAGAATATTTCTGGAACATATGGCACAAGATCTACCTCCGTAACTTGCGAGAAGTGCACAAGAAACACATGAATGGGAAGCGCGCAGGAAACCATGAACCGAGAGAAGACATGGTAGTACTACTTGCTGACGACAACCTACCACGCAATACCTGGAAAATAGGAAGAATATCGGCATTGAAACCTGGAAAAGATGGAGCCATAAGAGAAGTAGAATTGCATATGCCCAACGGAAACATTCTCAGGCGTCCCATCAATCTACTCATCCCTCTGGAACTCAACGACGGAGCAGAAACTCCGAGGGAAAACCAACAACCTGAACCCGGAATCATTCAACGTGCAGAACAGCAAGAAGCACCAAGACGATATAATCTTCGCAGCACAACACATATTGCTCCACCTGAACAACGGGGCAGAACTTCGGATCATAACGACAACATCATTGAAAAGCCGGGAGTATAGTGAAGAAAGAAGAAGTTTGCAATGGAAAAATGAATTTGTGATAATATGTGATCTTATTTGTTATTGTTTACCCGTATAAAAGGGAGCAATGAGTAAGAACTTCATTCTTTTCATCCCGTGCGGCACTCCAGGAGGCGGCAGTCAACCCTCGTAATAAAGGTCAGTGACGATCGTGTTCTGTATTGTAGCAATAAACACACACTGAACCCGTGCGTATATCCCGTGCGTATAGGTGGACTCAAACGACCTCAGAAAAAAGGATTTTGTCTTACTTTGTTTTCAAATTGACGGCGTTGCCAGCAAACTGTCGACGATTATCTTTATCATT